GGCGACAGAGTTGCTGACACGGAAGTGTTGCAACAAAGTGGGATGTATGCAGTGGACTGCATACTTTTGCTGAGACACCTGTGGTGGCTAGGTCATGTGAGCCGTATGGATTCAACGCGCATACCGAAATAACTCTTATACGGTCAGCTGAGCATTGGGAAGCGGCATGTGGGAAACTAATCTTACGTTACCGGGGCATGATCAAAGTGAGCCTTTCACGTTCTAATCTTGATTGCAGGTCATGGGAATTGAAGGTGTTTGATCGGCGTGCAGGGCGCGATCTAATCACGAAGGCAGTTGCCGAAGTGCGGGAGAAAGACCTCATACATGCAGAGAAGAAGCGGCAAGCGCCGATGAGTTGTACTCCATCGACATCGAGCGCGTGGTGCTGTAGCACATGCGATCGCGAGTGCCTGAGTCAGACAAACCTAGTGACCGTTACCGAAGCGACGACGGGTCCTGCAGAGAACGTAGGCAGAACCGGCGCAGCGTTTGTAGGTACGCTGCATTCGATTTACTAACCGCGTGCTTGCATGCCGAGTCTCTTTATTTCAGGTGCTGGGTTTCCTTTTTTGTCCTAATGCTTTTCTTTCTCATATAAGTGTCTACCAATACTCTCTTCTATAAACTTGCACACCTCGCTTAAGCCAGTTGTAGTTAATTTCGATAACATTTTCGTGTTTGTGTCATTTCCGTAAAATATACTTTCCGACCTCGTGAACTTATCTCGGATTCGTTTGTAAACAACTTATTTCATATGCCCATTAATTTAAGATTTATGTCACCGTTTCCTTATGCATTACTCGATTTATTTTCTTTGTTATCTTTCACTCAAGTGATTGGCTGTTGCTTGATATCCCCGGTGTGGCTGCGCCTGATGTGCATGTTGACAAGGTGCCTACCTCTCTATTACCCACTACCTCGTCCATCTGGCTCCAGGAGACAGTTGGTCGTTGCTGGAGGGGACGGGGTGCATGGTCCATTTATCCGTGCTTGGCTCAAAGAGTGGTTCCATGCAGTCAGTGTGGAGTGGACTACGGTCCAGCCACCGCCTTGTGTGCGCTTGATTCTCCAAATACAGCGTGCTTGTGTTGGCCTGTGATAGAGTGTGAGCCGGCTCCGTTGATGAAACGTGGCTCCCATCCACATGCCTCCCGGTCTTATTCCTTCGGGTTTACACTGGATATGGGGTGTGTGGTTGGAGCTGTGGGTGGTGCAGCGGAAGCCATCCATGGTCTCTCTGTAGGCGCAGGCGTCCTGTGGCTGGCCAAAGTGACAGGCAAATTCGAAACCGCATGCCGCCAACCATATATATATATATATATATATATATATATATATATATATATTATCGCCCACAACCTGTGGTGCAGATATTGTGCTATTCAAATCATGGCGGAGTAGGAAAACCTGATCGGAATAAGAAGAATTAAACGGGCACGTTTTTTGCCAATTTTCCCACCCACAGTCTTTTTTGCGTTTTTATTTTTGTTTTATTAAGAGAGGAAAAGGGAATCACCGCAACACGTAAAGATACACGTCGGTCACTGACGTCGGTCTTGAGCCATCACTTCCAATGTCTTCAACCAGCGACTCTCCGTATGTCTGGAACCCCAACCAGCGAGTCCAGAACAACCGACCGAGGCTAACTGTTTCGTTAGCTTTTTCATACTGCTTTTCCAAGTCGTAACCTTCCCACCGCCCCAACGCCTCCAGTCCACCACAGAAACTGCGAACAGTGCCCTGCGCGGAAGACGCTGAAAGGACATCCGCAACACGTGTCCAAGCTCCCGCAGTTGTTGCATCGAGACTAGCTCTTCGAGCAAGTGTCAGCCTCCACCAAATACATGCTGTCTAACTTCTACATTGTTTACTTGGTGCAGCCACCACACACTGACAATAGATTGCAGGCTACGGCGCTCGAAAACAGATAAGCGACGCAGACCAACCGTACGAACAAGGCAGGTCTCGCAACAGTACATCGCGGACGGTCGCCCAATAAACCCCACCCCTTGATGCAGAGACGGATGTCATGGTGGCACCACTATTGCTTTAGTCTGAGGTAAGAGAGACAAGCTCTTGAGATACACATCGAAATCTAATCTCCAACAGCCCTACCGGCAGTGATTCAACTTCCCAGGTAGACAACACTATCCACCACTTCGTGTATCACCACCAAAAGTGAGTGCAGGTACAGACATTTGCCAGTCTTAAAAAGGAGCTTTGCACTTGAACGCCTGAATCGTCAAGCGGTTAAGTGCAAATTGGACCACATGTAGACCATCACCCAGCAAAACGATATCATCAGCGTCGTCCATATTGACAACCCGACCACCTGAGAGGAGCTCAACGCCAGAATTCATCAACTTTTTCGGAGCATTTTTGGGGACATCCTCAATGGCAAAGTTGAAGAGGAAAGGGGGATAGAGCCTCCTTGTTGTACCCTGCTGGTGATAACAAAAGTGGGTGAAAACTTGCCATAAGCCCTAACTCTACCCGAAGTCTGACTATATAGGGCACGCAGTGCGGGAACGAACTTCCCAGGAGCATCATTCCTCAACGGGTATTGCCACAAAATGCAGTCCTGTCGACAGAATTGAAGGTAACACAGATATCTAGGGACACAATAAGTGTTGGCTCTTGTTATACATGACGAAGCTCGAGGATCTGACGGGGTGTGAAAATTTGATTGACGCAGCCGCGACTACGGCGGAACACAGCCTGTCCTTCCCACTGTCGGTAATCGCGCATTGGGGATAGCCTGCAAAGTATGCTGGACACCAGAAACTTGCGGACGACGGGAACCAAATTAATACCCCTGTAGTTGAAGTACATTGTGCGTAGGCCCTTTTTGAAAATGTGGATGACTATCGACGCCCTCCAAAATGAAGGAACCTTCCATTTTGATCAAACTTCTGAGAACAAAGCGGTGAGTTCTCGTACCAGCGAATAGCTACCATCTTTAAATAGAGCAGGAGGTAAACCATCAGCACCGGGTGCTTTTTGACGCTTACGTAGGCGGAGTTGCCAGATTCCTTTGTGAGAGAAGTTATGTGGGGATAGACCACTCAGCATCATTGCGCCTTTCAGAGGAAGCAGATGGTGCTGGTGGCCAGCAAAACTGCGATTGAAAGTGTTCAGCCCATTGTTCCAGCCGCCGTTGAAGATTATTGATCAGTGAGCCATTCTCGTCACTGATTGTTTTGCTTCCAGCAGATCGGAAACCGTCGGTGACTTGGATAAGAATGGGGAGTTTTCTGGTATTACCAGATAGACCAGTAATCTCCATCTTTCTAACAACTTCACGCCACCAGGCTGCACGTTCTATTTGTAAAATTTGCTTAATTCTGGATCCAGAGGTCGACCTCCTTCACCACAACTGGCCTTGGCCGGGACCGAGTGGCGCGACAAGGAAACAGACGTGATCCAGCTTTTCAGCGGGTGACAGGTAACTCCACAACTGCCGATATTGGCAGTGACTAAAGCGTCTTCGATGCACACTCATTGAAAATCCAGACCATCGTCAGAAGCAGTGTTGAGAGGAAGGCCTGGTACATGTCTAACGTCGTAGTGTCTTGTAACTTTCGATACTCCGTCGGTAGTGCGTACGTTTTGCTTTTCAGAAGCGTAACTATCCATGGAGACGACGGGAAATCAGCCTGTCAGTGAAAGATAGGGAGTATAACACTGCGATCATGCTAGTCAGTTCGCAGTGAAGACATTAAACGCTTGACCATCTTTGATCACCGATGTAAATACGGGGTGAGCAATTCTGATGTCTGCCAGTTGCTTTTTGGCGAGAAGCCTTCTAGTGCCTCACTCGAGTGTTTGGTGGATTTAACCGTTTATGTTGGTTAGGTCGTATCTCCCGCCTGTCCATTGGTCGGCATCCTCGGCATGCACTGTGGCTACTTAAGTTGGGCAAAAGCGCGAGGCGGCTAGTCAATAATGTGCGTGAAGAAATTCACTGAGAGACCTGATCACGCTGGTGCTTGCCGTCTTTGTGGATGGTCCAAACCAGTGGATGGAGATTCTATCAGACATGACGCGGTCGCGCAATCCTTGGCGTTCCTGCATTCGGTTTCTTGCGTCTAGCCGTTAACTTTCTAGCTTGACTGCTTTTGCACATTTTTGTCCTGATTTCAGTTTCTCTGTGTTATACACTCAACCTCAATTTCATACCGCTGTTATTTGTTGTTATTCTGGAGACATGAATTTTGGCAACCGGATCCACCGCACTTCAGGTCCGGAATCGTAGTTGACCAACTGGGCTGCACTGTTCTAGTTTACGTTGTTAAGTATCAATTTCATAACGGTGGTCACAAATTAATTAAATTTTTGTCACTCGCGTGGGTGGATGGACCTGATGAATTGTCTGGAGCGTCTACGTTTCCAACATCTTTGTTAGGCAACTTTGCACCTCCTACCAGCGAGCTGCTCTAGTTCCCCACCCACGTTTCGTGTGCACCACCTCTTTTGAGCAATGCCAGATTTCTATTTTTGTTTTTCTTTTGAGTCCATACCGTTAATTATCGTTAAGCGACGTCGCTACGACATCAAAATCATACCAGTCAGTAGCCTCTCATTTGGAGTGCACCACTGTCACCGGGTGGAATTCCAAGTGAGCTTAGGACAGAAAAAGTTTTAGTTTACACAATCTTGCCTCGCATCTTGGGCTATATTTCTCGGTTACTAAAGTGGTGGCGCAAATCTCGGACAGACCCATTTAGGGGGGTTGCCTTGCCTTCTGTTCTGTTTACTTGACTAACCTGTCACTGCCACTCTCCGACTATATCGCTTCATCCCCAGCTGTCCTTTGGATGGTTGCTACTTTTTAATTCACTCCTAATTGCCTTAGGCTTCAACTTGTACTTTATCTGCGTATTCTGTAGAAGCTCTGCATCAGCATACACCGGCGGCAGCTATGCTTAGTCCAATTTTTCTTCCAATTATCAGGATTTACTTTACAACCCTATCTTTAATCTTCACCGTAACTCTAGATGTTGGGCCACTTCACGAAACGGCTTTCGACCCAGCTGCACCAGATGAACCCATGGATCCGTGCCTGAATAGAGACAGCGATGCGTCTAAGGGTCATGAGACGCAGTCTATCATGGACTTATCCTCCTCTGATGTCTCGTTCACACAAGACTTCTCTGGTGAGGCGGCGTCAAAGTGAGTTGTTTTATTATACGCGTCCAATTCCTTATCTCCCCACCATTTTGTATGCAATCCAAGATACCAAGTAGATTTGATACTGTGCTCTAGCCGCGGCTGCACTGAATGAAACCATTTAGCACTGCCATCACTGAACTTTTGTGTGTGTATATATCTGACCGTGTTAGTTAGAGGTTCAGGATCACATGATGGAATCTGATTGTTTGGTTGGTTGCTTCACATCACTCTTGCGCGAGCAATGGCTGTCTTGCGCTTGCAGGACCACATCACCTGGTATGACCAGTTTGTGATATCTAAGCCATGGTAGGGTGCACAACACTCACCGACATCGGAACAGGTTGATCGGGGGTGGGGACTCGGTTACCTTCTGTGTTTGCTAGCACGCCACCTAGTTTTGCACCGATCGGTTTGACACACGCACACTAGTTTGGGCAGATCTTTCCACATGTCTGCCTACCGCTTTCGTCGGCATGCATTGTTGTCATGGCCATACTAAGTTCGGCGAAACTCTAGGTTGACCTGGTGACTACACGAAAGAGAAACACACAGAAACTGACGAAAGAAATTGGTAGTCTGTGTGCCCATCCTCCCCGTTGATGCCCCGTCTATTCTATTGCATTCGGTGATGCGGCTGTACCTTTACACTTACTCTTCTGTCTGCAGCTGTTGACTCCTCTCTTATCCAACCACAGGCAATTTTTCAGGCCTCTTCACTTCTTTAAAGCCCTGTCTTTACTTTTCTCGTTGTTGAGCATTCAGTTTTCAATAAAATATAATATGGAAATCCAGCATCCCTCTCGTGACGTGTTAGTTACCGGTGCGGTGGACGGAGAATTTCAAACATCAATTTACAGGCGATGCTCACGGGTGGACCAAATCCTGAACTTCTACAACAACCATCCCAAATGTCACGAAATAAGCTTTATTTTGTAGCATCGAGCCTGAGGCAAAGCGAAGAGTACCACGTTTCTAAATCAGCGCACATCCGCAAAATTTCCTCTGGAGGTACAGAAACCACAGGACTGCAACCACCTGAGTTTGACAAGCGGCAATGAAACAGGTCACTTTGTGCTACATGAAGAACATACATGTGCTGTCAGGTGAGTCATTCAAACAAAATGCCACTTTGCGGTGGAACGCAAGCCTATTGACTGGCCGAATCAAACTCTATGGGTCAAACGAAAAACCAGGATTCCACGAACGACGAATTTTTATTTACAAGATCCATGTGGAAATTGCCGCATGATCTATGCATGTTAACAGAGAGCTAAGTCTCTTTCACTAGACCAAAATAGCCATGCTGGCATGCGAGAGGACGCGAAGACAATGAACATTCCTCTGGGCATTTTTCTCTGCAAATTATTCCACAAACATGGATGTACATATCGATTCCACGCACCAAGCGACTGATAATTATTGCGTGCAGCCAGCCAGATCAGTGATAGGTCAACAAACAAAACAGCCTACATAAGCCCTTCCAAGGACCATACTCCTTCTATTGCATTAATAGTGTTGCGACTCACCCTCTCACTTCGAGCCAATAGCTTTAAGACCGATTGCAGGCAATCAAGTTTAGCATCGAGAGTTTAATAACGAATCAGGATGACGTAGGATTATTAACTGCGAAAGCGTGTGTGGAGACGAGCATTCACTGAGACTATTTAAGATCAACTGTACAACTCTATCGAATTATGGAAAATCAAAAACATTTAATTGCGAATCGTCAGCGGTAGTGTTTGGTCAGTTACTCGTTTATCCTTGTTCGATTAGGAATCCGTATTGGTGTCAATGTTTCCGGGCATACGATATCTTCTTTTGGCATTGTATGTGCACCATTTTACAACAGCACAAGTTTCCTACATAAGAGTCGATACGTGTTTTAAAACACTTCACAGAACCGGCTTCTATTAGGCTTTCTGATAGTCTATTCCATAAGTTTACGCCTCTTTGTTCTATACAAAGCTGATGTGATACCTTGTTTATGAAGGGGACCCTGAGTTTGTAACCGTGTCCTCGGGTGTTACAGGGTTCCCGCAGGTGGCCGCAGCATGGGGAAGTGATTCAAGTGTAGTACTATATGGGTCTTAATAAGGCCAATTCTTACTCAACGGTAGGATAGCATGTAGAGTCCGAGCCTTACACAACGTTTTTCCTACGGAAGCTTTCGTAGACTCGGTATCATTCTAGTTGCGTTATGCTGTATTTGCTCCAGCTTTTCAGTTTCCCATTGGGTTATCGGATGGTAAGCTGGGGCACCGTATTCAAGGATTGGTCTAATGAGCGAGGTGAATAGACGAGGGACGGTTTCTTCGGACCATGTGGAGAAACTGCGTCTTAATGCCCAGAGTATACTAAGTCCCGCACGGTACAATTTCTCTGTATTTTCTAGTGATCTCATATCATGTCGTGAGAGAACTCCTAAGTCTCTGACAGATGTGTTGGGATGGAGCAATTGGCCGTCTAAGGTGTATGATCGAGTGGCTGGACGTCTGGTGATACTGATGAACTCCGACTTGCTTGCGTTAAGAGGGAGTTGCATTTCAGTGGACCACGTTGACAGTCGCTCTAAGTCATGCTGGAGGCGAGCGCAGTCGTCCTGGTTCTCAATGATCCTCCAGATTTTCAAATCATCTGCAAACAGGACACATGGTGACTGGAGCTGCTGCGGAAGATCGTTGATATGAATAAGGAATAATACTGGCCCAAGTACAGTTCCTTGAGGCAACCCACCGACCGTTGGGTACCAGTCTGTCAGGTAGTCATTGACCTGTACTCTAAACTTTCCTCCCACACTAAACTCGTGTAACCACTGAAGTAGCGTGCCACCGATTCCGTAGGTCCTCAGTTTACGTAGGAGTACCTCGTGGTTCACTCTGTCAAACGCCTTACTAAAGTCGATGTAGACCACGTCAACATCCTTCTGTTCATTAAGAGCTCGTACCCACTGGTGGTTTGCGTACATTAAGTTGGTAATGCAAGATCGCCCTTTCGTGAAGCCGTGTTGCATTGGCGTCAATACGTCCATCTGAAGTGTTCATCCTCCGCCTGAATGGACACTTGATTTCCAATCAAACCCGAAGTCGCTGGCCCCCCACACGACAGAGAGAAGACCGCATCGGACGAGCAGAGCAACAGGAATGAATTAGCAAATCACACCGTTCATTATAAAGGTAAAATGGAAAGTTCGTGAATAGTATTTAAAGCGACCGTGGAAAGCTTTGGAAAGGTTAACTTACCACCAATAAACTTTGACCTAGCGTTCATTGGCCGCTTCTCCTGGTTGGCTTTCTGTCCGCGCCAATCAGGGCGGATGAGTTTGGAACGCCGGAAGCGGCGATGGGGTCCTGGCTTGTTCGACTCGCGTATTCCTTCCTAACACCATCCATTCGAAACGCGACAGCATGCACTTTTTTACAGCTTCGCGAACTTTGGATACTATCGAACTCAAACAGATTCGTCTATAGTTCTTTGCATTATTCGGATCACCACTCTTGGGAAGCGGTCTCACTATCGAGCATTTTCAGTTCTTGGGAACTGATCCTTCAAAGAGTGGTTTATTGAATAGTTTTGTCACAGCTGGTGAGATGACATTCGGTAGGGACTTGAGTATTAGTGGTTGAAGTCCGTCTGGTCCCGGGGGGCTTTGCACCATCGAGGTTGACAAGTAGCTGACACACTTCGGCTGTATCACATTGTAGGATGTCGAGCAAGACTGGTGCAACCTGTGCCGGTACTGGAACAGTCGCAGGTTTACTGGGAAATACGGTGAGGAAGTGCGTAGCCAAGGCATTCGCGCGCTCTGCGCTTGAAATGAGCGTATGTCCGTCCAAGCTCTATGACCGGTAGGTCGCCCCCAGGTTTCAGTTGACGTTTCAAGTAGGCAACTATTCTTTTGGGTGCATTTGTGGCCGAGGTTGCTAGCTCCTCTTCGAACTGCTGGCGTTCCTTGATCTTCGCGGCGTTACATAAGTTTCGTTGTTTCTTGTACACCCTGTAATCTTCATCACAACCCGAGCTGATGTATCTATCCCAAAGTTTGCGATGCCGTCGCGCTAACTGTCTATATTCCGTATCAAACCACTGCGGTTTGACAGGTCCGATTTTTGAATACTGCAGGGGAACGAACCGAGTACACAGCGAGTTGAAGTTCCCCTTCATTAATGACCAACAGGCCTCAAGCGACGCATCACGTGGCAGAGTCCAATCAGTCTGACTTGCGGCTTGGACGAGCCCGTTGAAGTCCGTCTTCCAGTAGTTGAATGTCGGCTTCCGTTGGTTGTAATACGGTACCGACAGTTCTGTTTGCCACAATAGAGCAATGGTCAGTGTTCGCCAGAGGTTCGATGACTCTGATCTCGTTCAGCTTCTGCTCGCAGCTCGTAAACATTAGATCCGACAAAATGCCGAGTGCGGAGTTACGCGCGTCGGTTGCGTTGCCCCGATTTCAGTAGTCATTTTAGCGAATTGAGTCTCAACGTTGCCATGACCGGGAAGAAACCGAACATCTGGCCAGAACATTTAGCTAAATTTAGCTCCCCCATCAGTAAGAATTGAGGGGGGCTCATGTGCTTCTGTATATAGGGTAGCCAATCGCAACAACGGTTTAATGGGCTCCGGTAGATAACCCCCACTATTAGTTCTGCGCGCCTGAGGCGGATTGTGCACCACAATTGCTCGCATAAACTATCCTCGCTCCGATAGGTGCTGGTAAGTTTGCCAGATAGTGAAGATTTTATGTACAAAAGTACATCACTATGAGCCTTTGATTTTCGATCACATCGGAAACAAGAGTATCCTGACAACGCAATTTTTTGGAATTTACATCGGAGTTCAGCCAAGTCTCTGCAAGTCCTATAATCTTCGGCTGCTCCGAGACATTGAAGCTGCACAGTTCGTCACGTTTGGTAATTCTCTGCACACGTTGGTGAATGCCACACGGAGGTCCTGGGAGGTACCGCGGGACATGCTTGGAGTTTGAGCAACCGGTTGATACGGGT